GTCGTTGTTTATACAACAAAATAAGGGCACGTACGTCGAAGGTAATGGTCGGCATACTCATGTTTGATCAGTCTCACCCACACGCCAACGTAGTACTTAGTACCAGAGACACTTCCAAGAATGTGCCTTCTTTGCACCATAAGACCTTTGCAGTGCACACAACAGCTATAAGCGACAAGTGCAGTATATTCTCAAGGGATATTTTGAAGAAATCTGTGCAGAAAGTGAAGGAGGCATATCAAGAACAGACTAGTGATGTGAAGGACATTCATGTCTCCTTTGATGGCAGTTGGCAGAAACGAGGTCACACCTCAAAGTCTGGGATTGGCTTAGCCATAGAAAGAAAAACTGGCCTCATCGTTGATTACGAAGTGCTTACTAGCTACTGTCCCCAGTGTGCCACCACAGGGAAACGCCTTGAGAGAGAGAACATTCTCAAGTATGAGCGGTGGTTTTCTTCGCACAAACCGTTCTGCAGTGCAAACTATGAGGGCCCAAGTGGGGGCATGGAGAAGGAAGCAGCACTCAGTATCTGGAGCAGATCAATTTTGAAACATCAGCTGAGGTACGTCTCCATGATCAGTGATGGTGATGCAAAGACCATCTCTGAGCTGCATGCCCTGGACCCGTATCCTGGGACTTCAGTTCAAAAGCACGAGTGTGTCAACCACGTAGGGAAAAGGCTAGGAAAAGCCCTGCAGAACATAGTGACTGAAAAATCCAAGGCGAAGCCTAAAATCACACTCGGTGGCAAAGGACATGGAAAACTTCGACCTGAAGTTATCAAGGCTCTCCAAGGCTATTACACCAACGCCATACGGAAACATACGTCTGTTCCCACGATGAAGCAAGCGGTTATGGCTATCTTAGACCATTGTTCTTCAACCGATGAGGACCACCACCATGAGAACTGCCCTAAAGGAGAGGACTCGTGGTGTTTTTTTCAAAAAGCAGAAGCAAGGGGGTTGCCACCAGGTAGCCATGTCGACAATATCGGGACTCCACTTTGCCAGCTGGTCGCTGATCACGTCCGACCGATCTTCACGCGTCTGTCGACCGATGACTTACTGGGCCGCTGCGTTCTACAGAGCACCCAAAATGCTAACGAGAGTGCACATGCAGTCATATGGGCTCGCTGCCCAAAGCACCAGTTTGTCCATCGCAATCGCCTGTCTATTGCTGTTGCTATTGGTGTTGCTGAATTTAACTTCGGTGCGAGCTCGTCGCGTGATTTTCTCACAACCCTCAACCTGCCTGTCGGTCGAGAAACCAAGCGCCGTGGGGAAAAGCGGGACCACACAAGAACTGTGAAGTCACAGGTAGCAGCCACAGAGAAAGCCAAGAAATACAGGCAAATCAAGGCAGATGCCAGGCAGAGAGAAGAGCAGAGAATGATAGACACTTATGGGGAATTTTATGTCTCTGGAGGCGGCGACTAGTATGTTTAGGTACTGTTTAATTTTTTTTTAGAAGGGGTACAATGGGAATTTTGGGCTCCAAAATGTAAAACATGACTGTTACATTGTTCTTTTTGTGTGGAGAATGTTCAGAGTACTTCCTGTTTCAATATTTGTAAGGTTTTTTACCTTAGAGATGTGCCTGGGTCTTCTGTTGACCAATAGAAAACTCATTTTGCGTTTTTCTCAAAATACCTTTTTTGACAAATTTGTCTCACTTTTTGTTCCAGATCTCAGAAAGTTCTCGTCAGAACTTGTTTAAATTTGCACACAATGTTCTTTGCATGTATGCCTACCACCTAACAAAGAGATTTTTGACTTTTCTATTTTAGTTAATGTTTTTTAAATGTTTGGCCTTTTTTGACTTTTCTATTTTAGTTAATGTTTTTTAAATGTTTGGCCTTTGATTACCTGAAAATTTCGGAGATCTGAAGTCAAATCTGGCACTGTTAGGTGGTAGAGAATGATCACGTTAATTACCATGCCAAGTATGAAGACTCTATCTTGAGTGGTTTTTAAGATCTCAAGAAAATAAAAACGTCCAAAAAACACATGAAAATAGTAGCGCCACGTCCAAAAAACACATGAAAATAATTTTTTTAAGGTTTAGGGTGAAAAACAAGCCCAAGAACAACTCAATAGTCATATCGGCGGACAGATACCGGAGTGTCCTCTCCTTTCTCTCAGTCCGGTCCCCACTATGTAAGGGGATGAGAGAAGAGGGAGAGAGAGAGAGAGAAAGAGAGAGAGAGAGATATATAGATAGATAGAGAGAGAGAGAGATATACAGATAGATAGAGAGAGGGAGAGAGAGAGAGAGTGAGAGAGAGAGAGAGAGAGAGAGAGTGAGGCATGGAAGAGACAGACAGACAGACCGTTGGACTACCTGACGACATTCCCTCTCTATCCACCTTTGACCATGAATAATTTATATTCATAGTGACACCAGCCATCCATGTCCAGGAGCTGTTTTAGCCTTGTTATCTATCTTTGGTCACCCTCTCTCACACACCTTCCAATCCTCCACTTGAGGCTCCCTGTTGGTCCGGCTCATCCCCCACAGTGCCATGTTCGCCGGTAAGTCCCCTCTCCGTTTTAGACACTTTCCCTCTCTCCTCTCTCCAGTAACACCTTAGAACCCTCCAATTGAGGCCCCTGCCAAGCCCCCGCTCAAACCATATGGACTAAAAAGAAACGCATATATGTGGAAGACATTGAGACTGTTGTCAATGCAATAGGTACGTGCCTTACAAATAAAAGACATCAAGACATTAAAAGATCAATAAAACAGTTGCAAAGTTACAAAGAAACATTAAGAAATTAGATATCCACCTACAAAATTTTCATCATAATTTCAAAACTATTTGTAACCTCCCCCCCCCCCCCCCAAAAAAAACAAAACAACAACAACAACGGGGATCTGCAGTGATCATGCAGAACTGGGTCTTGTTACTGGCATTTATCCACTTTTTCTTTTACCTTTTCTTCCCAGTCATGAGCAAAACGTTCATCTCACAGAAGTGTCATATTTGGTTAACCTCCCCACCCAATCTTACTTTTCTTACAGAAGCCAAAGACACCCTTTCCCCTCTGAGGTGTAAGTTTATATTTTGAACAACCCCTATAGGCCTAGATCTAATACATTGAGGCATGTCGCGTACATGAGAGGCGGAGGAGGGTCGCTTTTCGAGGACCGCCGTAAAAATAGCCTGGGACTCACTGGGAGGCTATCTTTACGGCACGCCGTAAAAATAGCCACTGCGTATTTTATTATGTATACCAAAGATAGTATCATTGTGTATACTAAAAGACTGAGAAGAGGCTTACAATGTAAATGCTGTGCTCTACAACAAGTAGATCTAGATCTAGAATCTAGATATCTAGATCTAGATCTAGATAAAAATCTTAAGTTTGCGCAAAACAAAATAGAATCTAGATCTAGAGTCTATATCTAGATTTAGACCTAGATCTAGATTCTCTATCTAGATTATATAGATTCTAGATCTAGATCTAGATCTAGATCTAAATCTAGATCTAGCCTAATCTTCTGGAAAAGTGTGACTGATCGACACTGATCCTCAAAACTTAAAAACTGAAAATGAAAAGAGATCTCTAAATCTAATCTAGATCGGACTCACTTGTATTCTGGTGCCTGAGTTTTTTCAGAATGTCTTCAAGGGCTTGCTGCCTCAAGAGTTTGCTCTCGTAGTCTGGACTCGATGAATCCCACAGACATGGTCGATGTTTATACAACAAAATAAGGGCACGTACGTCGAAGGTAATGGTCGGCATACTCATGTTTGATCAGTCTCACCCACACGCCAACGTAGTACTTAGTACCAGAGACACTTCCAAAGACACTGACACTGGCTAGAATACGAAACCGAAACTGAAAGTAACCACGATTTTCTTCGCAGAGTGGTTATCCGCACAATTGTGCGAACAAATCTGTCTAGTTATCCGTACTACATTGTACTGTACAATTGTGCGAACAACTCTGTCTAGTTATCCGTACAACGTTGTACACATAAACATGTACGAAAGTCGTCGAAGTGCTACAGGTATCCGTACAATAGTAGGAGTAGGCCTAGATCTATGCCCCCAGGCCTACTGCCGACATGTTCAGACTTAGTAGATCTAATTTAAAATCTATGTTAGATCAAGAAATCTAGATTCTAGATCAGTGTTTCCAATATTCCACCTGCTGAAATTTTTAAATTTTTCGTCAGACCTCATCTGCCGATTTGATGCCAGCCGCCTCATTGATGGTGTTCCCCCCCATGTAAAAAAAAAACCCAACTAAGTCTAAGATCTAAATCTAGATCTAAACTCTAGATAGATCGAGAAATGTGCGTTGCGTTGAAACCGAGCTGTAAAAATATTTAAGCTTAATTAATCTACCTCATTCTGTTGATAGTTCTGATGGCCGAAATTAAATGACAGCGTAATGTCTGCGTTTGAAGAAGTATATAGACTCTATATATTATGAGTGTGGGTTCGAATCCCAGTTTTTTTCCCTTCTTCTCTCTCCTACCCCGGCAGACCAACAATTATTTCCCCATAATTGTTTGTTTTGACTTCAAAGATTTCCATTCATGGTTTTGTGTGAAAACAAAGAAACATAAAGTCATAATTATAGATCTACTTATATTTTAATAGAAGTATAGATCTAGCCTACTTTTCCTGGTACAACTTAAGAATCTGAGTCCCGTCTGTTTAGACTAATACTATCATTGACATGGTCAAAACTAATATCCCCAAACGGGACCCAGATTCTTAAGTAGTACCCTTTTCCTTTTAGGCCAACCAATTTAGGCCTGGTTAAAGTTATTATTTGATGCTCAACCCAGGGGATAACCAACTGGATGACGAGATCTAGATTATAGATCTAGTGATCTTGGCTTGTTTTTACCGACAACCTCCAAATTTCGAATTGTACGAATAACTCTGTCTGGTTATTGGTACAATTGTACTAATAACTAGGTAGAGTTGTACACACTATTGTACCTTTCTTCGCAAGGCCAAGCCCATCCAGAATTTAGTTGCACGGGTTGTGTTCGCTAGAGAGTTTAGTGTAGAATTCTGTGAACAGGCCTAATTTAATATTACCAGCCTCGAGTCTAGAGAGCTGTCACTTCGCCCAGATGCGTGTATTCAAGGCATAATTTTCGTTGATCACTGAAAAGCATGGTTCCAGTTTATAGCTATATTTAGATATAAAGCGTCAATGGATTCAGCTGTGTAAGCTGCACCCATTCCATATAAACAAAAATACAAATTTGAATAGGCAATCTTTCAATTCCCAAAGGATGACGAAAGGTAAGATTGCCCACTTGTAGGAAAAAATGGAGCAAAACAGTAACAATGTTATATTGTGGTCCTACAGACTGACACTGACACTCCCTGCGCAAACTCAACACACTTTTGACTTCATATCAATATAGTACTAGACTTTAGTACTAGATCTTCTGGCGCTCATATGACTTTATGCAGTTACGAGCGCCGTAAAACCTCTACTGAAACTAAACACTCGGTGTGGCTGCAAATGATATTCTGGATGCTTAAAACAGAGCACAAGAAATGCTGGTATTTTGGACGAAGTTATCTATATCAACATTTATATTATATATATATATATATATATATATATATATATATATATATATATATATATATATATATATATATATATATATACAGGGGCGGTTTGTTAACTGGACAAGACCGGTCAAATTTTTGTCAGCTGGACTGTTGACAAGAGATTTATTTCTGATGATGATTTTCATTCAGTTTTAAGTAAATCCCAAAAAACATGTATCAACATTCAAAAGCGCCTTACGATTTGAAGGCGTTCAAATTATAGAGAAGTGGGGTTCACTGCTATTTCTCTTTCATGTTTCCCTCTTTTATTATGTTTTATTTTGTTGGTGTGTTAATTTTGTTTTCTCTTTATTGTTCTGATGTGTTATTTTTTTACATTAACATTTTTTGGGTGTGTTCATATAGCGCAATGTTCTTCCCAGGGGCGGTTTGTTAACTGCCGGTCAGGTTTTTTTCAGCTGGACTGTTGACAGGAGATTTATTGCTGATGATGATTTTCATTCAGTTTTAAGTAAATCCAAACAAACATGTATCAACATTCAAAAAGCACCTTGCCGATTTGAAGGCGCTCAAATAGAGAAGTGGGATTCTCTGCTGTTTATTTGTCGCGACAGAGCCTCATTCCTTCACGTTTGTTATCACGCCGGCTCGTAACTTTAAATCGTCTCCCCTCCAAGGAGTTTAGAACTACTTTTAATCTCCTTGCTCCCCTCCCATCAAGCCGTCACTTCGCGGAACTTCGTAGGCTACTAACTACGTACGAGGCCAAACACACGGCGGACTTTGGCCTAGCGATGACGTCAGTCCCATGGACAAATCCATCAACAGCCCTGAGAAGGAATAGAGGCAAGGAGTTTAGGCTAGTTCTAAACTCCTTGAATAGAGGGCATCCCTTAAATTGCCAAATTGGCCTCTTTGTAGCTTACAAAATTAAGATTGAGACTGTCTTGAGCAGCACAGACACATGTATTATATCAGCAAAACATGTATTTAAAAAATTATCATTCAGCCTTTCTCTAATTACTATCAGAACATTTATTGTTAGCATGGCACTAATCTTTTTTTGTTTATTGACTTTCTAACCACCTATAGTTCCTGTTTGACATTTACTCATCGTTTTCTCCCCTCTAATAACTTACCTGACCCATAGGAGTCTGGCCGGCGGAAGGAGGAATTGTCTAGGCTAGTGAAGATATTTTAACGAGGAGCGATAGGCACTCGGCTGTCAGAGTCTGGGCCAGGCCTACCCCCTCCCTTCCCTCCCCTTTTCCACCGTCACCCCAGCTAGACATCAAGTTCTATAATTGAGCTTTTGCCAAAAGGTGGGGGTGTTTGCTTATTATTAGCATTTGACACACTTCCCCACTTTGTTACAATACAGTGTTCTGTTCTGAGAAGTGATAAGTGCGTTGAAGAAAAAAAATTGATGATATAATGATCGGAAACTGTTGTGTGCTAACTTTGTCCAGCTTTGTATACTATCTGATTGTAGACTTGATCTGCTTGGGACAGCGTCACTGGTACAGTATCAATTAAGTTTTTGTCATCATACAGGACAGTTCTTATTACATATATTTAACGGGTCCAGTGCACGTCGATATTTTGTGTGGGGGTGTAGAAAGTACGAGTAAAGTACTGAAGGCCAGGACCAGCAGTTTATTGCCTCTCACTTTCAGTTTGTTTTCTGGCCTAGATCTAGTAGTGTTTTTTTTCTGTGCTGATCAAGTCAGTTTCTATTAATCTCAGTAGCTTCCATCATACGTTATTCATAATATTGTTTCTTGACATTACCGCATATTTTAGCTCTTTCACAGTATATTACAATGTTTACAGTGGTGTGTGTGTGAGTGGGGGAGGGGGTGGGGATGGCGAAAGTATGGGTATAAAATAAGGAGAGAGAGAGAGAGAGAGAGAGAGACAGAGAGACAGAGAGACAGAGAGACAGAGAGAGAGAGAGAGAGAGAGAGAAAATGTGTGTGTGTGTGTGTGTGTGTGTGTGTGTGTGTGTGTGTGTGTGTGTGTTGTGAAGGAAAGGAATAATTGACGTGAATGACGGCCGGTCAGTTCTATAAACCACAAGCCGCTACTGGTTCTTCCTATCTTTTTAAAAATGTGTTATGGTTATGTTACAGCGTGTCTCCTTCTAAAACGAATAAAAACGAATACTGACACTGGCGTGTGATTCCAGAATTTACATCCTGTGCTTTTTCTTGAATTACAAGCATTTAGGGTTAAAACGGCCAGTCTATGGATGGGTTGACACACGCCCTATTATTTGTTAATTTTTGTGGTTGTTTAATTATTTGCTGTTCTAATTTTGATTTCATTCTGTTGTGAAACCTTTATTATTCACGTTTTTACACTCTGTGAGTGGATGGTTGGCGGGTGCTCTTGTGTGGTTTAATTGCTTCTTCTTTCCTATGAAACATCTAGAAAATCTATCGTCCTTATCTCCATTTCTTCTTTTTTTTTTTTTTTTGTTACTCTCATGTAACATCTCTAATCTTCTGGCGCTCATATGACTTTATGCAGTTGCGAGCGCCGTAAAACCTCTACTAAAACTAAGCACTCTGTGTGGCTGCAAGTGATATTCTGGATGCTTAAAACAGAGCACAAGAAATGCAGGTGTTGTAGACGAAGTTATCCCTATCAACATACTGATATATATATATATATA